CCGTCCCTTTGCCCAGCAGCATGCCCACCGCTGGTCACAAGCTGTGGGCTGCAGGCAGCACCGAGCCCACCTGCACAACAGCACTTGGCTGCCATGGCAGCACCCAGCCAGCCACCGAGCCCACCGTCAGCCCAGACCAGGCTGTGGGTGCCAGAGATGCCTGCCGGGCCCCCGCTGCTCTCGGGTGAGAGCTGTGCCATGCTGGGGATGGCTGGACATGGCCACTTCGAGTACCTCGCGGAAATGTTGGAGTGGGGCAAGGTAGGGACCAGGGCTCCCTGGCAGAGGGTCGGTTGGTGCATGGGGGTTTCCTTCTCACTGCAGCCTTTTCCCTGTTCCCTCTGTTGTTCCATTCCGTTCTATTTTTGAGTACTTGCATTTTGTTGGCTCACTTAACCCACGCAGCACTCTTGTGAGGCTGTCAGCTAAACCCCAGCAGAGGTAATGGTGCTGAGTTGGCACCAGGCTTTTCAGCAGCCCTCTGCACTGGCAGTTTGTCCCCATGCTAACCAGTGAGTGCCATTGACCACACCATGTCAGCATGGTACTGGGTGCTTTTTCTGTCAGTCACAACTGGGGTGTAGGCAGTGCTGGAGAAGAGAATGTCACCAGCAGGAAATGATTTGGAGTTTGAAAACATTTTGAGGGAAACTGACATGTGCATTTCTTACAGAAAGGGGGAAGAAAAAAACAGCTTCTCGTATCTGCTGTTGCACGTAAAAAAATAAAAGAGAAAAGAAAGAAAAAAACAAAAACAAGAGGAAATACTTCTCTGCTCATTCAGAGGTTCTACTGTGATGGGTTTAAAAAATATGAAGCGGGCACTGCGTTTTTTAGCTTGTGCGATAAACAAAGGTGTTGGGAAGATTCTGTTTGTTCTGGATGCATTCCAGAGGCAGACTGCATCACCTCCAAAGATGTCTTTGCATGCAATTGTTTATGCCCACCCTGCCCCTCTCCCAAGCATTGTGTGCACCCTTGGAGCTAGGTGACAGAGGGGTTTCCTCCACAGTTCTCTGCTTCTCCTTAGCTGGGAGCAGTTCTGCCTGAGGCTCCAGGGCCAGTTTGGACAGCCAGGTCTTGCTCCATCTCATCTACTTTATGGATGGATTTTTTAGGGTGACACCCTTTACGTTGCCAGTCCAGATCTATCTGAGGCACTTCAATGCAAGCAGCCCGATTCACATGCTTGTTGTTCTTATGTTCTTTGCTGGCCCAGTTCTGGGATAAATGGGCATCTATGTGATGTATTTCTACTACTGTATTCTCTGCCTGGGCAGCAATGTCTTTGCTCAGTGTCATATGGTATGGAATATCGCTTTGGCCAGTTAAGGGCAGCTGTGTTGGTTCTGTTTCCTCCAACTCCTTGTGCCCTCACAGTGCCCTCAGAGGAAGGCCAGTGTGGGCAGCTGAAACATCCTTGGCTCTGTGCAGCACTACTCAGCAGCAACTAAAACCTCCGTGTGCCATCAGCATTAGTTTTTTTCCTAAAACCAAGACATAGCATCATACCAGGCACTGTGACGGTTATCAGTGTTGTCCTGATATCAGAGCAACAGCACACAAAATTATAAAGGGTTTCAGGCAAGAAACTCCTTTTTCCCCTGATTTCCCTGTGAGGAAGTAGCATGCTTCCTTGTCTCTTGCAGCTGTGCAGCCTGTGCTGGCAGCTTGAGTCAGGCTTCCCTCCATAAGAACATATGCTGCGATAGACAGCCGAGTTAGCACATCAGAGTGAAATGTGTGTGTTTATTGAAAACAGCTCGGTGCTTTGCACACAGAGCATCACCCTGCCAAGCCTCATCCCCCGAGATTCTTGACATTCATGAAGGAAAGAGGAGTCGCAGCAGCTGCTTGGCCTTAGCAGACTTTCCATAGCAACGGCTGCTGTGTGTGAGGCTCTGCGAGGCCCTGTGCAGAGGCCTCTCACCTGCTGCATTTCCTTTTGCATGTCACTATCTTCAGACTGGGGTTTTAGATTACAGATCCTTTATAGTTTATTGATGTTACCAGGAGCTCAGAGATACTCTGCTGGGACAATGAAGCTTCTTTCTCAGGTGACATAAATCATGCCAGCAAAAGGACACTTTTGCACAGTAAACCATATGTGCATGGGGGCAGGGTATTATTGCTTAGAGACCGCGCTGCTCCAGTTTTCCCCTTCCCATCCTCTCACATCAATCAAGTTGTTGAAACACAACTTTACAGGATTAATGCGCTGTGCATTAACTGCTGAATGGCTGGTTTTCATGCAAGGTACTCCTGCTGAAGAAAGAGGATGTGCTGGCAGCACCTTGCAGCCACACTCTGCTCTCTGCAGTGATGTCCCAGGGGTACGGTTCCCCATATGTCAGATCCTGGAGGCTGGGAACATGATCTCTTCTGGCAGTCATACTGTTTTTCCACTTGACTCGTCAGCATCCCAACCAGGGCAAATCATTGCATAGTGCCATTCCCCAGGGGAACACTGCTTCACAAACTTGTTGTCTTTCTGTCTTTTGCTATTTTCTCATTCATTCACACCGCTCTGCTGTCTCTTCCTACTCTCACTGTGGCTTGTGATTTATAGCAAACAGTTTAAATGATATTTCTCCAGAAAAAAAATACATCTAGAAAAATGGATGCTACCAGAAACAAGCCCGAAACTCCACATGATATGGACACAAGAACCTACTGAAAATAATGTTAGGAGCATTTGAAATTCTTCCTGCTCTCCACTCTTAACCTGCTGAAGGCTGCTGGTCTGCCCTGCTGCCTTCCCTCCTTTCTTTCTGGTCCCATCACTGTCATCATGGGGAGCCCAACTTTGCCTGTCCCCTTCCTCGTCAGCAGCTCTGAGAGCCCTGCCATCTTTCATGTCTGTACTGCTCATAATCTTAACACCATGTCTCCTCTGGGGTCAGAAAATGAGTCCATGCATGAACTTCCTGTAATTTGAACTTCTAAAACACATCCACCTTTTCAATTTCAAACCCTTTAAAAATAACTATTACATTTCATTTCTGCTAAACAGTGATATTTGTTAGGAGATACAATATTCTTCTGCGCAGAACTGTAGGGCATTTGGTCTGAATTTCATACAATTCTGGGAGGCCTTTTCATGGCATTTCTTTCATTTGCTCAGCAAGTGATTACAAAGGATGGAGGGGCACAGCAGCGTCTGCTCTGTGGGCTATTGCCTGTAGCTGCTCCTTGTATGCCTGATGCTTTTGCTTGCCAGGTGTCCTAGACATGAAGCAGAATGCAGTGCACACAGCACACAGTGACAAAGCAAAGATACACAAACCAAAGGCGAATACTTTCCAAGGCTGAGCGTTATCTTACTATTGTGGCAGTTTGATGAGCACAGTCTTTATTGGTTGAGCGCTCTGTGTGCAGCAGCAATGTGACCTTCCAAAATTGCTCTGTCCAGCTGATCAGGTTATGGGATTCAATAGAAAATTCAGTGAACCATGAAGATCATGGGCTTGTAGCATATCTCTGCAGGGCAGATAAACAACTCAAGCCAGAGCACCATGGCTTGGTAGTTTTATATTTAAGGCCAGAAATCCTCATGCTATCCTTACTCTCATTTTCATACACCCATGTCAGTGAGATACAGCTGAAGGACAATCATCAAGAAGGCAAAGGTGGGCTTGCCTTTGCAAGGCAAAGCAGGCACATTTCTCTAAGGCAGCATCAAACTCAGTCCTACTGCTGAGCTGTGTGTCATTCAGCCTACATGACTGAGAAAACCCTAGGGAAAACAGTGATCTTCAAGGCTGGGCTCCTCAGGGCTGAGAAGATCCCACTGCAGACAACTTACAGTTAGATGAATGTGTGCTACAACCCCATTGCCTCCATCCCAACATAGCCTACTTCCATCGCTCAGAAGGAAAAGGGTCTCTCTGGTGGCTCAGTTCTCAGGACGGTGCCTACTCTGTCCGACAGGTCAGGAACAAACCTCACAGGCATCCCCTATTCTGTTCCTGCTGTGTACACACTGGTTCTGCTGCCAGCCAGCACGCAGCTCAGGAGAAGAACCCTGGTTGGAAAAGCATGAAAGAAAAACAGTCTTGGAAAATTTGGATACAAGGGCTTGATAGCAGCCTTGAAAGTGGATGCAGAAGGCAATGGAGGTGCTGCCAGGATGTCCTGAGCTATTTAGGGCAGCACTGTGCTGCTTCATACAGCAGAATCCTTGTCAGTGACCAAGTACAAGTGTAGGATTCTTGCAGCTAATTGAAACCCAGTATCTCATCCTTGTTTGGATTGCACTGGTAATTAATACAGATGAGCACTTAGGGGACTGCTCCGTATTACTGTTGGAATTAATGAGTACCATCTAACCCTAGGGAGGAGAGCAAACGGTGACAGGCCCTGCTCTCTCCAGGCTCAGAGGTGTGCCGGTTTGCTAGTTTCACAGCTACCTGGTGTGACTTTGCTCCCAGCCAGACCTGATGCAAGCAGGAATGGGCTGCACAGGATGGCTGAACCACCTCGACTCCTCCCAGGGATTTGCTGATGTCAAAGATTAGCAGAAGAGGTGGGACATTTGTGCACCTGGAAACAGCTGACAACAGCTTGCTGCAGCCACCCTGCTCATACCAACCCCTCCAGGTGGCAACAGGAGGGGCAGCAGGAGTCCTTTCTGGCTCCTGCTGTTAATTCCCTAACGTGGCAGAGAACCCTAACTGATCTATTTCCCCGGTAACCTGGAGCTAATACAGATTTTGGCACGGTGGCTGCAGTAGTTCGAGGCTAGGGCGGACCGAAGTAAAAAGGTATGAATGCAGGAGGGCAGCTTAGACCCTTGCAGGGCTCCAAAAGCCTCTCATCCCTGTCGCACCTTGAGGCGGAGCAGACGGTAATTAACGTCCCGCTCTAACGCCGGCGCGCGCCGCTGCCGGCCCCGCAGCAGCCCGACTCCGCGGCGCCCCCTGCCGGCCGGCCGTTGCCCCGCAGTCTCTGGGCGTGGCCGCCCCCCGCGGCGCGCAGCGGTTGCCAGGTACCGCGTCCCACCGCCCGCCATTGTGGGCTGCCGCGCCTGCGGCCGGGGCGGCGGCGCGGAGCGCAGCGGTCCGTCCCGTCCCTGAGTCCGGGGCAGGAGGAGGGGCCGGCATGGAGGGCGACGGGACAGAGCCGGAGGTGAGCGCGGGGCTCGGGGGAGCGGCTTTGTCCGGAGGCCGTCGGCTGAGCCGCGCTTGGGATATTTGTATTTTGCTGTCTCTTTTCTTCTTCTTCTTTTTTTTTTTTTTCCTTTACCTGTTTGGCGGCTCGGAGGTTATTTGCGAATAGATCTGAGAGCGGGGCGGAGGCGGGCAGCGCAGTGCTGCCGGTGATGGGCGGCGGGGATCGGCTCGCCTGTCGCGCGTCGGGGCTGCGCTGCCGCCCGCACGTCCCGGACGTGTTCGGCTCCAGCTGCTGCGCTGGGCAAACCACGGCAGCGCCGCTGCCTGCCAGCGAGCTGCACGGCGAGGAAACCGGCTGTCTGGCCAATTGGACACTTGTTTGTTCATTTTTCCCTTCGTGAAAAGCAAGCAAGCCGATTTAAATGTGTGGCTTGCTATTGTTAAGAAGCATGGTTGCTTCCTTTCCACTACGTCCCTAGGTGCAATTAATCCTGCATGTCTTCTTTCCTTCCCTGCAATGCAGACCTAACCTAAAGATGAACCAAGTTCGCATAGAAGCCGCGTGCTTTTCAGCTGCAAGGAGCGCTCTGATAAATGTTAGTAAAGATCTGTTTGCAGTGCTAAGCGGAGCACTGCCTCAAGACAGCTGAGACCAACCATCATTCTGCAGAGCTGAGGTTTGCTGACATGAGCAGGGACAACATCACACAGAGGGTGGTGATGCACAAGTTGCCCACGGAGGCTGTGGATGCCCCATCCCTGGAGGCATGCAAGGCCAGGCTGGATGTGGCTCTGGGCAGCCTGGTCTGCTGGTTGGCAACATAGAATGTTGAATCTAGGTGATCGCTGTGGTCCCTTTTAGGCCATTCTATGATTCTATCACTGTGAACATGCAGTGTCTTACAGCTTGTGCTTTCTGCTTGGTTTTCTCCTCTTTCTGTCAAAGGTTGCTACCAAAAGTATTGAAAGAGAACTCATCTGCCCAGCATGCAAGGAGTTGTTCACCCACCCGCTGATCCTTCCTTGTCAACACAACTTGTGTCACAAATGTGTGAAAGATATACTATTCACAGTTGAAGACTCATTTGCTGATGCAGGTTCTGAATCCTCAAATCAGAGCAGCCCGCGGTTCCGAATCTCTTCTGCTAGCATGGACAAGATTGACAGAATTAGTAGATCAGGTACGTGTCACAGCTTTGCATGTTTTTCTAATGTTATGTATTAGGTTGACTTGAGCTGAATGGTATCTGCATGGCTAAAATGTCATCTCAGTTCTTCTGATGTGGTTAATTAGATGACTCGGGATAGCACGATCTCATTCATTCTGTGATAAGAACAGTGGGTAGGTTTTAATTTTAAAGACAAGGCATTTCACACAGAACACATTTGTCTTTGTGGCATCCTGTCAGTATTTGTAGCCACTGCCTCTTTATTTCAAATACTGTTGGGCACCAAGGTATAGATGTCAGTAGTTTTGTTGTCCTCCCAGATTTCAACCAGCAGAATTCTGTAGTTTGGAATTCCTTCTAAGTCTTTGAGGACTTCTCAAATGACAGTGCTGTCCTGCCCATTCCATGATGTTTGCAGTAAATTGTTTTCCGTAGATGGTGACTATTGGGTGATTGAAGAACTGGAGGATGTGGCTATTAGGAGATTGTGCTAGCAGTCTCTTTCAGTGTTTTGCTCAAGGCTTTAAGGTGCACTTAGCTTGAGGACTCGTAACTCTTTGTGGTGTCATGCTATACAGATTCTTACTCTGACTGTACTCAGCTGCCTCTGTAATTCAGAGATGAGGTGATCAGATTTTACACAGATACACTGGAAGTATTTTATGCATGCCATGCATCTTAAAAGAAACCTCATCTCTGCTTTTAGACTTCATGCTGGAAAAATTGCCCACTATAAAACCACATTCCACAGTGCTCCAGAAGGGTCATTTGCAAGACACACCCTGAGTCTATTTGCATTTCATGTTCACAGTTGTCCCCTTGCCAGTTTTCAAAGTCCAGATGCCACTGCCTTCACTTATGTGACGCTTTGATTTATTCAGCTGTTCCCTGAAATGAGTCTGATAAGTAAATGCTGTGCTTGCCATAGCTTGGCTGACTGTTGCTTGAAGGAATCAAACTGCTAGTTATCTTCATTCCAGCCCTGTTCCAGGATGTGGTGTGGACAGCCTTGAGGTGACTGATCTCTATGCACAGTCAATTGCCTTCCTCAGCTGCAGTTTCACAGGAGCCCACTGGTAACTGTGTTATTCCAAGTGGAGGTCTGCTCACTTTCCCCCCCCACAGTAAACCTGGTGTTCTGGCATTGCTTTGCATGCATGGACTGAGAGCCTCCATGGCTTTGCAGCTGTCATCTTTGACAAGGTGGGTATCGTAGCCCCAGGCTGGGTGCCTGGAAGGTAGTGAACGCACCGTGGGTGACCTCCTTGTGAGAGACAGCATAGGAAGTGTGAAGAGGCTGTGCATGGGGAGCAGCCTTCTTGTGCTGCGCTTCCTCTCTGTCCTGTTAACCCACCTTCATCTTGCTCTCCATCACTAGTAGAAACAAGGACCTGATGTGATGCAGCCCATCTTAATGTGTGGCACAATCCACCCTGCATGCTGAAGGAGGCAGAGGCTCCTCTGAGGAGCTAGCGCTGGATGACTGTAAGAAACCAAATGCTCTCACATCCCCTTAAATGAATGTTTTGGGGGGAAGGAGGATTTCTGAGACTCAGTAGCCAGCGTTTCTAGGGTTCAGTTCCCAGTTCTGCAGTAGTAGCTGGCTGGTTTTATTTCACAGGGTTTAGATGTACTGTTTTGTTGACACCCCTGACAGCAGGACAGGAAAGACCCATTTGTGACGTTCCTGCACTGTTGAGATCTATGCCATAAGCTTATTGCAGATGCTGTCATCTTCACAGTAGTCTGCCACCCTTCCAGCAGATAGAGTATCATATGTGTTATCTCCTGATCTGACTTGTTAGCCAGAAGAGATAAATGCTTTGCTAATGTCTTTGTACCCTTTCCATGAACTGGAGAGTGCTGAGGCTGGGAAAGAGTTGTTTTCCCTCCATTCTCCCTAATGACTGTTGGGCAGGGGCACATCATAGGCAAATTGTCTTCCCAGACATTTTGGAATTGCAAAATGAAAATCATATGGAAATGGGAGCTTTAAAGAACACATTTGAATGTTCAGGTTATGCTGTCTTTGCTTTCTTTGCTTCTGATGTCACAGATACCGTGGTCACGTTGCTCTCTGAGGTGTGAGCTTTTGGCTGTCAGAAGTTTGGTGCTGCTAGTATTCAGTGTGCATCACTCTTCTGCAGCTGAATGAACTGTACAGGGCATCCCCTGACTTAATTTATTCTGTGACCTTCAGTGGGGTTTGTAATAAAACAACTTCGCGAGAGTGAAAAGACACAAGACAGCAACCTAAGTGAAGCTTCACTTATCAAAGAAAGAAACACAGGTATTTCATGTCATTGAGTGCAGGGCACGTCAACTGTCAGACCGCTGTGTGTGAAAATGTATGAGGGCTGCTCCAAAAGCAGTGCCTCCTATTCTGTCAGTTGGCCCACAACATCAGAGGTTGGTGGTATGGCAGGAGAGGCTGACCCTTCCCACCAGTACGTGTCACACTTTGTTGCTCTGTGACAGGTGGCAGGACAGGGCAGTCTGACATGGAAATGCATATGAAGCAAAGCTCTCTAATTGAATTCCTCCGCGTGGAAAATGCTCCTGTTGGCATTCATTGATGCTTGCTGAATGTTAATGGAGACCAAACAGCGGATGCTAGCACAGTGAAAGTTTGACTGCATGGGCAACATTTTTCTAGCAGCAACTCCATCATAGCAGCTGTGAAGCAGAGAATCGCCTCTGCTGCTGCAGATTTCAGTGAGTGCAGCGTGCAGGCTCCTGTGCACTGCTGATGAAAATGCGTGGCTAATGGTGATGACTGTGTTGAAAAATTGTGTTTTGTAGCAGAGAATGTGCTCCATCAAGTAGTGTTACTGTGTTCTTTGTGTCTCTGCTGTTTCTGTGGAAGTAAATGGGAGGCATTACTTATGGAGCAACTTAGATAGATGACCTCTTCCTTCTGCTGTGCTTTAGGTTTTCTTTATTTTTTCACTTGCTGTCCTTATTGAATCCTTGCTGTCTCCACAAGGAGTGCTGCGTGCTAGAAAAGTTTTGGGTATTTAGATGTTTGAGATGCTGGAAAGAATGGGTCTGAACTCTTTATTTGTTGTGCATACACAGCTTGCATTTATAAAAGCAATTTGCTTTAATGTGAAAAGGCCAGAACCAGTAGAACTCTTTGCTTTTTAGTTGGAGTGCATATTCTTGTTAAAATCCAACACAATGTTTTCAAAAAAACTTAACTGCATTTTATAAAGTATTGCTTGCATAAATTGTTGCATATTGGATGGGAATAAAATCAATTTGTTATTCCAATGCATCTTCTGTAATATTAGAGTAATTATTATGTCGGTGTAATTAGGAGGAAGCATGCAGTGTGGCTGTGTTACCATTTGTGTAGCATTGCTGGATAATGCAGAACTTGAGTATTTAAAATATTTTTTTCTCCCTTTGTGTTTCTGCTTGAATATTACGGTTGTGTCACCTTGTGCTGGGAATTAAATATTCTTTCGTTTCAGTCCTGCAGTATTTTAGCAGATCCAGGAGAGACAACAGCCGACACTCTTCATTTGAACCATTGTAAACCAATGGTATATCTCACTTTTTGATTTCTAAACAACTTTCTGTTCATTGTTTGCAGCCTCACAGAGGAGGTCTTTTGGTTGGAGAGGTAGAAATGCTTCACATCTTGTTTTGGCTCTAGATAGTGAGGTCTTCAGATCTCAAATATTGCTGGCTAGCGTATAGATTTGTCAGTGGTCAAGTCCACAACGTGGCTTTTGCAGCAAGCAAAGGTACAGCAAAGATCTTAAGAAAGCTTTTCATTCTGACTTGAAGGTTGACTGGACTGGCATTGGGTTTAAGGTGAGAGCTATTTTTTTGTGTCTGTGCACTGCTGGACATACTTGATAGGTTCAAATAATGTAAATTCACTCTTCTGCTTAAAACAAACAGATAAAGCTCCAAGAGTCTACGTTCAGGCTTTTTAATTTTCAGGAGCTTACACGCTCCATTTTTAGTAAAGCTGCTTTTTTACTAGAAGTGAAGAGTAGTTATTACACTGATCTTTTTAACAATTATAGGTCACCTTTTCACAGAACCTGTGAACAGAAACAGAATTCTTCATTTTCTCTGAGCCCTCTTAGTTATGCCTGATGAAGAAGCAGACTGAAATTTACACCTTTAACTGAATAGGTGTTTCTGGATCTGGCAATTTAATGTGTTGTTTTTATTTTTGTGCAATGCTTTGTCAAAATAAAATTATGTGAAACACTGCTGTAGTACTGATAGGCACGTGAGCAGCCATTAAAGATAATGTTCCTTTCAAGGAAGGAATGAGCCGAAGCAAACATTAACCTGCATTTCACACTCAGCGTGAGGAACGCAGCAGTTAGGAGAAAGTGGGCATTCATTTGCAGCAGGTAGAGACTGAAGGTGTCAGAAAAGAAAGCAACAGCACAGGACTCCACTTGAGTTCTCAGAAAGCCTGTCCTCATCTGCTCGTTTTGCAGAAAACAGTCTTCATTTGGCTGAGATTAAAGTATTGTTTTGTAGCCACATCTCTCAGCTTTTTCTTTCTTCCTAAGCATCCGTCCAAAAGCTGAGTTCGGAGCTGGCAATAGACATTTACATGTTTAAAAACTTTTAGGAGAATCCAGTTGACTTTTAAAATATTCATTTTTTTCTTTTTTCTTTTTTTTTTTTTAAACTCACACATTTAATTTTCATGTCTCCATAATCACAGAATGCTGGTGATAGTTTACTTGGATAACAGTTTTTATCTTTAAGATATCTTATCCCTTTGCAAACCCGCAGCTGTAGGTTGGGCTCTTCTACTTCTGAAATGCTGGCATCTCTGCTTGGGAATATAACAGTGTCTGTATAAGACCTACCCAAGGTTGCTCTTTGCCTTGAGTCATCACAGTCCCCTGAAGTCTCTATTCTACATCAGTCTCTATTCTGACATTTGTGAGTTCGGAGACTGAGTATGAGCACGTGCTGTGCCTATTCTTTAGTTACTGGTAGAGTTATTCATTACAGATCAAGTGGTCCTA